CCCTCTACTCAGTGTTGTTGGGCTGTGGAGAAACAGAACTTGACCTTGATTTTCCCACAGTGCAAAGAATTTTAAGTCAGACTGTCCACATCCTTTTGAAACCCCTTCCTCTTCCTTATCTTTCATGCAGTTCACATGGGCCAAAAGGGCCAAATGAATTCTCTCTCGTTTTGAACAACATAAGAGAAGAAAAAAATCACCTAGCCCACAACCGCTTTTCACCCGCCCACCTTTCCTCCAGCCAAGGAAATTTTCCCTGATGACTAGTGCTCTGAAAGCAGCTTGGGTAGTGCCTCTGGGGGGGACTCTGTGTGCCGTCCACTGAGGGTTGGCACATCCTTAGGAAGGGGGCCAGGGGAGGATGCAGCAGCCACAGCTACTCTAGCAGCATTTGGGAACTTGTTAGATTTCTTAGCCTCCACACTCACTCAGTTGAACCCAACTGTGCATTCCAACGAGAGCCCCAGATGATTTCTCTGTGCACATTAGAATTTGGGAAGCTCGTGTGTGAACAACTAAAACATAGTCCTACTGGCTGTAGAGAATTCAACTTAGAGACATTCACACAGATGAAGTGACTGACTGCCCTCCAAGTGTTGGCATTTCTGGTACCTCAGTGGACACAAAATATCTCAGCACAAAACTCATTTGGGTTCTCTTCCCCTTCTTAAAATAAACGGGTGAAAAATAAAGGGGTAGTTTTACAGTAGGGGAGTGGAGTTGAAGCCATAGGGTGAAGCAGAATAAAGGGGTGTTGGGATTCCAAATACAGTTAGGAATCCCAAGTCTGCATCTCTTGCTCCCCTTTCTTATTGTGGACAAGGCCACTTACAGGGAGAGAAGAGAGCACTGCATTTCCCCAAGTTTCTCCCCTTTTTTTTGAGACCCAAGCAATGGAAGCTGCATGCATCCTGGCGACAGCAGCAGGCAGTTGAAAGTATGGTCTAATACTGAGAAGGAGACAGCACATACTGGAGAGGACAGAAATCTGGGTTGAATTCTTGTATCTGCTGTGTGTCCTTGCTTAAGTCATTCCTGTCGTCTATGATGCAAGCACATAAATGCCTAATCTCCCTCGCACACATGAAGAAGTTAAGACTCCAGCAATGGTTTGGATGAAAGACAAAACCAAACAATAGGGAAGAGAGAAGAGTGACCGAAGGTTCCACACCCTCACCTATCGTTCCCTTTGAACCTGTCTGGGACAGAGTCCAGAGGAGGGTGGCTCTCCGTTACTCTCACTGACGTCAGCTAAGAAGTGAAAAGTGCCCGCTGAGTATGGCACTTGCATTGAGTGGGGAATTCCTGGGGGCAACAAACCTGCAGATAGCCCAGGGGAAAATGCTCCTGTGCTGGTGCTTCAGGGACAGTGATGAGGTGGGGTGTGAGAAGTGGGTGGAACACGTGGGCTCCTGCCTGTGTCTTTCAAATTACCATTCATGGCAAACATCCCAGATAAGATGTGAAACACTTCCAACATCAGAAGAGCTGAATTTAACCCTCTCTTAGTGCACACCGAAACCCTAGGGATTTTCAGGATTAACAGCAAGTGCTGGTTGGCTCTTTCTTCCTCTGCCCACATAAAAGGTATAAGAGCTAAAGGCTAGGCCACATCTGTGTGCCCCTAGGCCTATGGTAGCACACCATTTTCCAAGCAGAGCATTTACCACTCCACAGGCAGAGATATTTAAATACAGAAGACAAAGACTTCTAAATCCAAAATTGTACCGAATACCTGAAAATTACAGAGAGAAAAATGTTTCCCTTCCCACCTTCTAAAGGAAATCCTGTGTTTGCCTTCTGAGCCTCCAGGACCATTGCAGCATAAGCCAGGGGAGGGAGCTGAGAGCACAGACCGAGTTCTGTGAAAAAGTCAGAGCTGCTGACAGCAGCAAGAAATAGATCTGGGCAAACGGGGGCAAGAGGAAAGGTGGAGAAAAGCCTCCATCAGCTGAATTTTGAGAAAGAATTTTTCAGTTTTTTGTGAGTAAAACTAGAGGAGGGGAGCTGCTATACTGTGTGGGAAGAAAAATTTTAAGTGATAATATGGGAAAAGAGGATTTAAAGACATTTTGCTGAGTCACATAAATGGACTTCTTCATTACTCCTCAGCAAGACTTCAGGATAGACAGTATTTTTTATTCCTTTTTTCAGATGTAGTACTACTATTTCTCTTATGACACCATGCTGAGAAGGGCTGAAGAGTGCCCCAGATTTAGTTCTGTGAGATTAAAAAGAAACAAACCTGCAGGGCTACCTTTTCCACACACGTTGCTACTTCTTTCTTCAGATGAAGACCCTTGGCGAGGCACTCCTAGGAAAAGGATAACAGCCAAGCTCTGTACTGGTCCTCAGCTGTAGGCCTGGGAAGTTTCAGTATTTCTAAATTCTAGGAAAAGTGATTTTATGAAAGTAAAGTCTGTGGGAGTCAGAGGCTCTGGAACTTCCCCTTGCTCCACATGACCTCAGACATTCAGGCTAATGTATGATGACTCTGGAAATTTCCAAGGCCTTATTTAGAAAAACATATTACCGTGTAAGTAGATTTTTTAAGGACACAAAATTACCCCTAAGGCAATTTGCCTTTTTTTCAAAATTTATGTGTGTAGACACTGAGTTGGTTTTAGCTGAATTATCAGATTCCAAATGCATCTGAGGTCAATCCTTATTTGTGCTAATGAACAATTACAAGAGTTGCTAAGTATTCTTCCTATTTATTATTGTTCCTATTGATTTGAGGCAAAATTACTTAGAGAGAAATGCACAGATCTTACGTGTACAATTTGATGGATTTTGGTAAATAGGTGCACCCATATAACAACATTTCTATCACTTCATTGTCTCCTTGCAGCCAGCCCTCAACCACCGCAAGCAACTACTGTTCTGATTTCTTTTTGTATACTAGTTTTCTTTGTTCTTGGACTTCATATAAATACCTAGGAGTGGAATAGCTAAATCATAGGGTAAGCATATATCTAACTTCATGAAAGAAAAAATCATTTCAGCTTTCCAAACTAATGGTATTATTTTACACTCTCACCAGTAATGTAAAAGAGTTCCGGTAGCTCTACTTCCTTTCCAGCATTTGGTGGTGTTGGTCTCTTACCCATTGTACTCATTCTAATGGAGTATTTCATGGTGGTCTCCAATTTACTTTTTCTTTATGTTTAGTGATGCTGAGCACCCTTTCAAGTGCTTACTGATAATCGCATCTTCTTTGAAGAAGTGACCTTTCAATTCTTTGCCCATTTATTTGGTGGGCTGTTTGCCTTGTAGTATTAATTTGTCATTCTTTATATAATGCGGACACGAGTCTTTTTGTCAGATGTATTTTCTCCCAGTCTACTTCTGTTTTTTGTTTTGTTTTTTCATTTTCTTAATGTTTTAGGATGAGCAGAGCTTTCAATTTACTTTTCTTTTATGGTTAGTGCTTTCTGTGTCCTCTCTAGGAAATCTTTGCTTATTCCTAGCTTGCAAAGCTCTTTGCCTTTATTTTCTTTTAGAAGCTTAATAGTTTTAACTTTTATAGTTATATCTCTAACATAAAGATCTAGTGTATGGATCTTTGATGTTTAGCTGTAATTAATGAAATCAATTTTTGTATGTGGGATGAGGTTCTTTTTCCCCCATACATGTAACCATTTGTTCTGGAAGCATTTGCTGAGTTTTTCCTTCCCTTGAATTGCCACAGCATGTTTGTAAAACACTCAAATGAATATACATGTATGAGTCTACTTCTGGGCTGCTCCATTACTCTGTTGTCTATCTTTTTACCAATATATAGACTGTCTTGGTTACTGCAGCTTTATAGAATATCTTGATATGAAATGATGTGAATCCTCCAAATTTGTATATCTTTCTAGGACTGTCTTAGAAATTTAGGTCTTTTGTGTTTCTAAAGAGGTTTTGAGAACTCTAAACTTGCCAAACTTCTATCAAAATGTGTGTCAGGTTTTTTAATTGTAATTCCACTGCAGTTATTATCAATTTAAAGTAAATTGACATCTTTTTTTAAAAAAATGAATCTTCCATGACAAGATGGTGGGCCCAGTATAAAGGCACATAGAAGCTTCACTCCAGCCTGGGTGATTAATAAGCCAACAGCAGACTGTGCCCGCCAGCAATGAGTGCAGCAACCAGCCCAGACCCCGTGCCCACTCTGCTGGGTGGGTGGAGAGGCTGGCTGTGCCTTCTCACCTTGTCCTGTTTCCTGTGATCCTTCATCTTCACTTCCTTTACCCAGCCTGTGGCATTTTCCCTAAAAATTTAATCTCTTGAAGCAAGAGAACCTGCTGCAGGATATGCAATGGAATCGTTTCCCTGATTAGAGCAGTGCCTTTTTTCCTGTTAACAGTTGAGCATTTGGCCCCTACTTCCAGTGTCTTCAGTGGGAAGCCAGTGTCCATCTTGGGGAGTGGAGGAAAGGTCAGATCTTCATGATATGAGAAGGAATTAACCTCAGAGGTGGGTAGGTGGGTGAGAGACACACATTTCCTACTTGCAGACATTAAGCAAAGCACTTTGTATATACGTTCCCCCTCAGACCCCCGCAAAAAAAGGTACACAATCATTAATTACAGAAAACCTGCCAGTCCTTACTTTCTGAAAAGTATTTCTCATGGACAAACTTTGTCGCTCAATTCTATTTCCCTGGCTTTCTTCCCTCCCTGTCCTCATGCCCCTCTCTCCTCCTCTCTCTTTCTATACTTGCTTGCCGTGAGGCATATTCAGAACAAAAACCTCATTCACTTCTATTCGTTTAGTTCAAAGTACATTGTAGTTTGGAGAGAAATTTGGTTGAAGTTAGATTTTGAACTGTCTCTGATACACAGATTTCTAGAGAACAAAGCCAACAGCCTTAGTTTCTTTGCTGGAAGAAGTGAGGTTATAAATAAATCTTTTAAAGGGAAGAAATGCACAATTCAATCATTGCATGGTAAAATATGTGCGTGTGTGACTGCAGTCTCCTGAACTCCTAACATGCTTCTTCTTCCTTGCAGAGTTTTGTGATGACAACCCACCACATCTCCGATTTGCCACATTCAAAGCCCTCATGTACAAGGAGGGCACCATATTAAACTGCCATTGCAAGAAAGGCTTCCGAAGAATAAGCAACAGGTTTCCCTACATGCTCTGTAAAGGAAACTCCAGCCACACTTTCTGGGAAAACAAATGTCAGTGCATAAGGACTTGTAAGTGTCTCCTTTTGTAATTATCTAGGGAAAGAGAAGAGCTGTAGTCAAGTGTGAGCTTTTGTTCACTCAGCCCTATAGATAAAAGTTGGCCAGCCCAAACTATATGAAAATGAATTTGAGTGGTTTCTGGAATATTCATTCACTGCAAACATTGAAGGAGCATCTCCTGGTCCTGAGGGCTGGTCTAGGCACCAAGATACCCAGCTCTCAAGGAACTTGTATTTCAGAGGCACGGAGAGAACAGACATGAATTATTAGTGAACAATTAAAAAATAATTCCAGTTCACAACAATGAAAATGTACTTAATGCCACTGAATTGTACACTTAAAAATAGTTAATATGGTAAAATTCAGGTTATGTTCATTTTATTAAAAATAAAAAATAAAAAAAGAACAGTCAGAATGAGCCCATATAAAGAATATGAAAAATCATAACAATTCTAGAGGGCAATATCTACCTGTAAGGCTGAATTAACTCTCTTTTGTTTTGGTTTCCAAAGCACCTATGTCATACCACCCACATCCTGGCTGATGAAACCTCATCCTAACTCCGCCTCCAGTAATAGAGCAATGTGAGCCCCTAACAGCTGCCCAGGACCCCCCACCTGCCCCTTTTCAGTGACCATCTCTGCAGCACTAAGGAAGTTCTGGGTAGAAAAATGGAGGCAGTGGGAGAGGCATGTCTTGCCTGCCAGGGTAAAAAGGGAAGAGAAGCTCATGCTACTGAATACTGGAGTCTAATCGAGGACCAACATCTTCCACTCAGGGTGCCATGGGGCCTTTGGGGGAGTTCTTTGAAGGAAAACTACACAGTTGACTCTTGAACAATGAAGGGGTCAGGGGTGCTGACCCCTGCACAGTCAAAAATATGTGGATAACCTTAGACTCCCCAAAACTTAACTATTAACCCTACTGTTGACTAGAAGCCTCCCTGATAAGATAAATAGTTGATTTAACATGTATATGTGTTATTTACTGTAGTCTTACAATAAACTAAGCTAAAGGAAAAGAAAATGTTTTTCAAATTGTTGCAAATCTCCAAAAAATTTTCCAATGTATTTATTGAAAAAACTCACATGTAAGTAGACCCATGTAGGTCACACCTGTGTTGTTCAAGGGCCAACTTATTATCAAGCAGAAGGTATGGTCAGTCCAGAGCTTTCCCCAGCCTCCTGTCCGGAGCTGGCATTCCAGAGCATAAGGGATATTCCCCAAAGGCCCCACATCCTCAGAAGCTTGCTGACTCTTATTCTTGCCCTGTGAAGCCCTTGTGGGCTTGGGGAGTGAGGAGAATAACAAGCCTACAGGCTGGTCAGACTGGTGTGCAGGTAAGGCTCCAAATCAGCATAAGGGGAGCTGAGAGGCAGAGGAAGTTGTTCATTTAGAATCTCTTTATTTCTGGGTATCAAAACACAGCTTGAGAGCCTCCTGGTCCTCAAAATCAGCTGTGTCAGAATCACCAGTGGAATAAGGGTCCCAAACCTCCCTGTGGCTGGTGGGAGTAAGCTGAGATGGCAGAGCCAACTGCTTGGATATTGGAGGTGGATCACCTCCCTGGAGTGGAATTTGAGAGGAATGACACCCAAGACTTTCTAAACCTAAGTGGATCTGATACCATGATTTGCCATTGAACTTTATCCTTTGAATCCTGAAGGCTCTCCCAGGAGCCCCATTTCCCTAGTAGGTCTTTAGTTCAGTTTGCGATATTAGGATGTGGTGAATAGTGGCAGGTTCACTTGTCTTTTTATTTCTTAACCTGGAGATGCTGTTGGTGAGCCACAGGGACCTTTGTCCCCCTAAACCATGTATGACCTGCATTCTGGAGATTGGGGCTCTGCTGACGCACCTAGCAGATACCTTCCGTGACCCTAAGCTGGAATCCTGATGCCCCCTCATTACTATGCCCATACTCAGATCCTTTGCCAAACTCTCCACAATAGAGAGGAGTGTTGTAGGAGAGGTTTTCTTTCTTTGCTTTGGATTACATCTCTCTAACTTTTAAATGAACTGCTTCAAGGAAACAAAGGGGTCAGTGGGTTGTTGAGTTGGAGCACTCCTCATTGCCTTCATAAACACCCATGCACAATGTCGGCAGGGCTGGTGGCCAGAATGGAATCCCTTTTGGGGAGACATACAAACACAAAAAATTCCACCAGAAAAGCTTTCAGTTATTTAAGAAATATGTTGTAGGCCATTGTCATTACCCACATGGGTACCAACAGGCCAGTGTTGGGCTGGGTGTGAGCAGGCCCCACTGAGGGCACCCAAGGGCAGGGCTTGCATGTGGCTCATCTGTAAACCCAGCACCCCAATACCACCTGGCACATCAAGGGCCTTAGAAAGATACTCTGAGTAAATGAATACATGCAGAGTGTTTTCTATTTTAAGCATCTGTGAATTTATTTGCTTCATTCCATCCATACTCTCTAGCCCTTGGGAACAGAGAAAAACAAGTTATTCCTGAAGAAAAGAAGGAAAATAAAACCACAGAAATGCAAAGCCAAATGCAGTCCATGGACCAAGTCAACCTTCCAGGTAAGAGGTGAATCTGAACTCTGTCATCTGGCTGATTCCTAGGAGCCAACCGCTCTCTTGCAGGTATATGATGTGTCCCGCAAAGGAGGAAAGTCTATCCCACTAGCCTCTCCTCTGAGGACATAATGTGGACAAGAACTATTGCATAGCATCTACAGACTATTTCTAGGCTCAGCATTTCAAGCCACTCTCACAGCAGCCAGAGCCTGTGTGATTGGGCTCTAGGCTTCCTCCTGGTTTGAGAGCTGGCCAAACAGAATTCAGTTCAATTCTAAAAGTTGGGACTAACTGTGCCAGGCACTGCTGACAAAATAGAAACATGAGTAGACAACAGTCCCTGCCCTTAAGGAAATGCTCTGTGTTTTTCTCTGAGCCACAAGATAATAAACTGTCAGCAAAGCAATTTATTTCGAGATGTTTCTTATGGACATTATGAGTGTTAAGCTATGCCATGTCATACAGGGTGAGTCTTGACACTGCACACAAATCCCTCTTAGATAGTGGGCTGTGGATGAATGAGCACTGTGAGTACCAAGTTGCTGCCACAACTTTTCAGAATGAATCATCTTTAAGTCAGGTCATAATTTCAGGAAGAAACAGAGCTCGACAGGAAAACCAGAGCTTTTGGGGGAGCAGCTGATCTTATAAGACCTTAGACCTATGATAATTGTATAAAATTACAAAGAACTTTATCATATTATGTATAATCTCATTTGAACCTTACAACCTAGCAAGTGGGGGACAGGAGAACTACTTCAATTGAGACATGGAGAAGTTAAAGGGCCTGGCGAAACTCACATAATTTGGAAATTAGACTAGGAATCTCTCTACTGATTACTTCCTTTAAATTAGTTTGAATTTATTTGCAGCTTCCATTATGTAAAAAAAAAAGACTAATCCAGGGGCATTGTTGCAAAATGATGTTTTTACCCATTAATCTCTCCAACTGTGTACTAGAATGGTGTTTTAGAAGTCATTTATTTTTCTGTTCTTCTCTACTTCTCCCATACTACCTCCACGGTTATTGAAAGGTTTTTTCCAAAGGTCAGTGTTTACTGCCCTTACTCAAGAGATAACCAGCTGGTCTGGTTAAGAGACAGTTCACAGATTGCATCGATTTGGATATTTTCATTTGAAAGGAGCAAACCTAACTCAGACAGGCTCAGACCATTATGAATGTTTTTGGCTGTAAAAGAAATTTTATTCTGCAACTAAAACACAAGTTCTGTTGTGATTTGCAAGATGTTAGACTAGAACATATCATTTAGGGCGGGACCACTCAGCTCCCTGCTGGGACAGAGGAGTTATTTAGGGAAGCTGAAGAGGTTATAGTGGGTGCTCAAGCGGTGGAAGGTCAGAGCACTGGTCCAGTTTCACACGTTTGGGGGTAGACAGTACATGTGGTCCCATACATCTGGACTGGCATGGGGTGGGGAATCCTGACATTAAGTCTGAGCAGGTCATGATCCTTGAGATTAATGGGCAGTCAGGCTTGGGTTTTCGTTGGGTGAGTGGAAACTTAGTGAGCATGGGGACTTTTCACAGGCCTTGACAGGAGCCTCTGTGGGGCAAGCTTCAGGCGTGGCTTGACCAGAGGTTGGGCCCCCTTCCCCAGAATTCTCTTCACCCTTCTCTCTTCCTGGTTTTGGCTTTGTCAGATCCTTCTGCCATGGTCCCAAGATGATCACGAGCTTCAGCCCAAGGGCGTGCTTCCTCACTAGCTGTGGAGAGCCACGGAGATCTTCACATTTCACTGGCCCCACTTGGTTCGAATGTCTCCTTGTCCCTGGGTTAGGTCTGCCCTTTCCACTCCTGCCTACTTATCAAAATCCTCACCATCAACAGAAGCAATTACTCATTCCTCTGTGTTCCCATAGCAAGCATTTATTCCTCAACTATGGCCCTTGGCAGATTCTGCTTCCATGTGTCTTTCTTAGCCAATAGACCGTCTGCTCCTGCGTGACTGGGTCTTTGTGCTTTCCCACTAAGTGCCTAGCATTCTCAATACATATTGGTTAAATGAAAGAATTAATGAATATATGAATGAACAAATGAATGAAACGATAGAATGAGAACCAAGGTCCACTCTCTAGGAAGAAGCAACTTGGATTTACTGACAATGCTTTCCTCAAGCTGCCTTCAGAATTTCCTTTCCCTCTTCCAGGCCACTGCAGGGAGCCCCCACCGTGGGAACATGAAGCTTTGGAAAGAATTTACCATTTTAGGGTGGGGCAGGCAGTTCACTACCAGTGGGCCCAGGGACTCAGGGCCCAGCAGAGAGGTCCTGCTGAGAGCATCTGCAAACTGCTCTGTGGGGAGATGAGGTGGATGTGGCCACAGCTCAAGTGCATAAATGAAAGGGGGAGTCAGTTCCCAGGTGTGGTGGTGCTTCTCAGGCCCATTGCCTTGCTTTTTCCACCATGTCGACCAGGGTGGGATTCCTCACCCACCAGCTCTGTGACCTTGGGCAAGCCACTCAGGCTCCTTGGGCCTCTCATTTTTCTCAGTCCAGAAAACAGACTAGATAAACTCTAAGGTCTCCATCATCTCAGGTCCCCTGTACCCAGAATGGGGATAGATAGCAGGAGATGAAGAGCACAAAAGGCCTTTTGAGTATCCCCAAGCTCCCCTCACTGATGAAAATGCTGCACGTTTTCTTTTCTTTTCAGCTGATTCTGAAATTCCACTTTGTCCTCTAAGCCAAGACTTCGTCTCATTCAAAAAAGGCCAGCCTGCCTTCCCCATGATTCTAGCTTACTGATATATAAAGCAAGTCCATTATCTGTACAGTGTTATACTGTGAGCATGCTCCTTCCTTTTGGGCAGTTCCCACCTGCACTTTGTTAAAAGTGCAAATGTGCAGGGATGGAGTTTATTTCAGCACATGTGCATGTGTGTGCGTGCGCATACACCCACACTCATTCATTTACACACACCTACAACCCACCTCTGTTGGGCTCTTCTGTTATTTTCATTCTGAAATCATATTACCATTTCTATAATGAAAAGCTACTTACATTTAACCATAGTGTTACTGGTTCCTTTGCTCATTCTCCACATCCCATGTCTTCCTCTTGGATTCTTTGGGGCTGCTGTGCTTCTTTCCCACACAGGGAAGCCACTGCCAGCCAGGGTGTATGGGTCGCCTCCTTTTGAAAGGAGGATGAGCTGAAGCAGTGTCCTGAGTAACAAACAACACCCCTGAGGAATGGGGAGCCTGTCACACAGAAAGGCTATCCTTTGTGCATGTCTACTGCATGCGATGGTCCCACGGTATTTATGCTGTTACGACCTGTTTCCAAGCCTCAGATGGAAAGCAGGGCTAAGGAGGAAGCCTGGGGAGAGAGAGTCGCTCAAAGTTCCATGGAAAGCCAGGATTGGGGTTAGAGTTGCCTCTCACCTGGTGGTCCTAGGGCCACTTGCCCGCTTGCCAGTGACTGGGATGCAGAGCTGTGTGTGGCACTCCCAGATACTGTGCCCAAACCGAGACACCCTTCAGCTGGTGTGTCCGGGTCGACTGCGACAGGCTTGTGCTGTGGGACCCCCACTCCCAATTTTTCTTCTCTCCTCCAGGTGAGGGTGAGCCTCAAGCAAGTACTGATGCTCCTCCTGGGAGTGACACTTCCTGTCCCTTAAAAATGACAGGCCCCACAGGCGCCACAGGTACTACAGGTATGGCTGGGGTTTCCGTGTAGGTGAGCTTGGCCATAAAGCCAGATGCAAGAAAGGGAAGGCTGGTGGCCCAGAGCAGCCCTCCAGCAGCTGGGCAGAGTTGCCCCGTAGGTGTAAAAGATCACCAAGCGCCCGCATCTGACCCGCAGTCCTCAAACATGCAGAAAGCAAGTGTCAGGAAGAGGAGAAACAGGCCCGAGGGCGGCATCTCGAGGCAGAAGAACCAGAAACCCACCCATGGCCTCTCTAAGCTTCACACCCCTTCCATCAGCTGAGCAACCCTAACTCTCTCCAGCCTGCGCAGCCCAATAATTAGCATAAACTGAGCATCCTCCCCTCTCTCTTCTGCACAGATTTTCAAAAACATACAGAAGTGGCTACCACCACAGAGACGTTCATATTTGCAGTCAAGTACCAGATAGCAGGTGGGTAGGACTGCTTTGACTGACAATGTACAGCAGACAGACACTGTGGGCCGTGCAACTTGGTGGGTTGGTGGTTGGTGATTAATTAGTTGGTTAGTTTAATGACTTACTCCTTACACTGTATAATGCTTATAAGAGTAAAAGAGTAATCCAGATATTAACCTAAGCAATCACAGGAATGGGTTACAGTAACCAGGCACTTCCTCCCAACTAGTCCTACATCTGTGGGGGCGTGTGGGGCCGAGGCGAAGTGGGAGGGATGCAGTATAACCAGGGAAGACAGAAAATATGTCCCGTAAACATTAGAGTTGTTTCTTGGTAGGAGGGAAAAAGGGGCTTTGAGGGGTTAAAAAACAAGCTTATAGCAACAGAGAGTAGAATGGTGGTTACCAAGGGTGGGAAAGATGGAGACACATTCAAACTTGCAGTTAGAAGATGAATCAGTTCTGGGATCTAGTGTGGGGCATGGTGACTATAGCTGATAATACTGCATTATATACTTGAAAGTTGCTACGGAAGTAGAGCTTAAATGGTCTCACCACAAAAAGGAAATGGTAATTACGTGATGTGATAGAAGTAATTATGTGATGATTATGCTAAAGCTGCAGTCATTACCACTTTGCAATATATAGTCAGTCCTTGAACAACATGAGTTTGAACTGCATGGGCCCACTTACACACAGAGTTTTTCAATAATATGTTGGAAAATTTTTTTGGATATTTGAGACAATTTGAAAAAATATTTTCTTTTCTCTAGTTTAGTTTATTGTAAGAATACAATATATAACACATGCAAAATATGTGTTAATTGACTGTTTTATGTTATCAGTAAGGCTTCCTGCCAACAGTAGGCTATTAGTAGTTAAGTTTTGGGGGAATCTAAAGTTATATGTGGATTTTTGACTATGCTGGGGGTTGGGAGTGGTTGGCACCCCTCACCCCTATGCTGTTCAAAGGTCAGCTGCACAAGTGTATCATATCATCACGGTGTATACCTTACCCTTACACAATGTTATATATCAGTTATAGCTGGGAAAAAGAAAAAGAGAAACGGGCTTTGAGGTATATCTAACATTGATAAATGGATGGATGGATGGATGGATGGATGGATGATAGAAAGCTTGCTTACTCTAGGACACAGGAAAGCAGCATTTGGGAACTACGAACACATTCTAGAGATGCTAATGTGTTTATCATTTATCTTTATATTGCAACGTTTCTTTTACCCGCCGCAGGCCTCACTCATGGCTCCTTAACTGAGGCCTGGCCTCTGAGCCTTTCTGAAGAGCATGCCTGTCAGTTCATCCCCCAGAGACAGCCAGTCCCTTGAGGAACCCTCCATACCTCACCAGGCCCTTCCAGGGAGAGAGCTACATTCTGAGATGGGAAAGCAGAAACTGAAGTGCCCACCTCTTCCCAGAAATCCTTGCTCCTGGAGGGACTTTCTCAGCCTGCTCTGGAACCTCACCAGGACAGGCCTTGCTGAGCTGCTTCTCTGTTGACAGTGGCTGGCTGCATCCTCCTGCTGATCAGCGTCCTCCTTCAAAGTGGACTCACCTGGCAGCAGAGATAGTGAGTCCTGTCTTCTCCAGGAAGCCCTTGCCCAAGCTGGCGGTGAAGCCCAGCATGGGGAAAGCCCCTGGCAGAGACCCCTGCCCCCAGCCCACCTCATTCTCCTACTAACCTCATGCAGCTCAGGGAGTGGTAGACAGAGAACTGGCCAATGCACGCATTTCTAAGGAGTCAGTCAGTAGGTATTGAAGCCACAGGGAAATGGGAAAGCAAAGGAGATTAACATTTGTTGAGCCACTAGTGTATGCCAGGCTTGATGCTTATCTGCTGAACATGATCACGATCTATCTTCTCAGAAACCTTTGGAATAGCTACAGCTTAGGCAGATTAGGCAACATGGGCAAGATTGCACAAACAGCAGAGGTCAAACACACCATGAATGTAGAGCCCCAGACCTGTCTGCCCGATCCCCTGGCTAGAGAGGAACCAAAGGCAGCATCCCCTGCACTTCTCCCTTCCTGCACCCCTTACCCCACACTGCAGCCACTCACACCACAGCTCCCTTGACTTAAACATGGCCCGTGGGTGGCCTTATTGCACCAACTTAAATTATCAACCCTGACTGCAGATTAGAACAACTGGGTGAGATTTTTAAAAATACCAATGCTTGTGCCCCAACTAGAGTCTCTGGGGATGGGCCCCAGACAGCAGTGCTATTTTTTTTTTCAGTTGAGATAAAATTAATAATTTTAACCATTTTTAAGTGTACAATTCAAGGGTTTTCAGCACTGCTTTGTATATACCCAAACTATCTAATCACACATGAAAACATTTCTGTCACTCCAAAAAGAAACAGCATGCTTCCCAACTCCTCATTCCCCCCCATTCCCTGCAACCACTGATCTGCTTTCCATCTCTATGGGGTTGCCTGTTTCGGACATTTCAGATAAATGGAATCATACCGTATCTGTCCTTTTGTGGCTGGGACATCAGTACCTTTATAAGTTCCTAGGATGCATCTAATACATATGCATCTAGTCTTGACAACTCTGCACCAGGCCAACAGGTCTCAGACTTGAGTGGGCATCAGAATTTCCTGGTGGGCTTGTTAAAACACACACTGCAGGTCTGATTCAGCAGGTCTGGGGTGGGCCTGAAAGTGAGCATTTCTAAAAAATCCCCATGTGGAACTGATGCTGCTGCTCCAGGGACTAAACTTTGAGAACAATTGCACTAGACTAATAGTATTATGGATCAAGAGAGTGGAACAATCACACACACACACACACACACACACACACACACACTAGAAGACATAGATACCCTTCAAAAACCAAAGGTCTTAGATCCTGTAGTTAGACCAGCCAGAGAGAAATCATCAGATTTCTTCCATTCTCATATTGGTCATCAGACCCACAATATACTCCTGATTTTCCTCATGTGAATTAAAAAGTACAAACTATTTGGCAATGCCAAGGATAAACCTGTAGGATTATTATATTAGTAATTATTCATATGCCTGGCAGTCTACCAATTCCAATACTGGGCTAGGTGATCACGGAGGCATTCTTTTAGGATTACATGAGATGACGTTTGTCAGGGGCCCGACACAGTGTAAACACTCGTTCCTTGTCTTCTTCCCTCACTGACAAGACTTAATGCCTATCGAGGAACTTTTCATTTGGTAACTTAAAGCCCCAACACCTTCAGACACAAAGGGATGAAGCTATTTGGGTGTGGTAGAGGTTTGAAGTTTATGTTGTGAAATAAAGAATGGCCTGCAACTGTATGAGTTCCCACAATAACCAAAAACCTCCCAGAATTAAAATCTTCCAGGAGACTTAAAGATCTCAGACTGACCCGGTCAAGAAAGCCAGTCCAAAAGCCTTCCTCCAATCTAATTTCGCCTGATAATGCCCTCTTGTGGCCAAACAGAAATCATACATGTTATTATTTTATTTTATTTTACTTTATTCTACTTATTTATTTTTTGAGCAATTACTAGCCAGTAATAAGTTAGAGTTGGCCTACACTGGCTCCTAAGGGCCAAAAGTTAAATTTTCAGGAATTTTGCAGAATGTTTTTAAGCAGAGCCATTATAAAAAATTTAAGTATATGAACTTATAATTAAATAAATTATATTAAAAACAAAGTTAATACTCAAAATTAATCACTTTATAATTATTTTATATAATACTACTTTCTTTTTTCTCAGAGTTATTTGCACCTATTGTGTCTGTATCAAGAAAATACTATGTAATTGTTTGCTATTGCACATCTCTTTCCAATCCAGTTTTCTGTATACTGATGTCACATTGGTAGCTTGGAACTGGGCATAGTGGGAGTAATTACACCATGGAAGTAGGCAAACTTTTTCAGAGAACTGGTTGTTAAACTCACCAGCACACCACTTCTTGGAGCCTTGCTCCATGGGAGCTCAGAACAAGGTAGGAAGTAACCAGGTATTCCTTGGGCTAAGTAAGGCAGAAGTCCAGGACTGTGATGCTCAATATAAGAGCCACTGGTCACATGTGGGTATTTAACTTTAAACTTAAATAAGTTTAACACAATTAAAAATTCAGTTCATTGGTTGCACTAGTCCTATTTTCAAGTGTCCAACAGCCACATGTGGCTATGTTATTGGACAACATAGATACAAAATATTTCCACCACCAGAGAAAGTTCTTAAAGTGCATCAGTGGCTAGAAACTAGGAGTTTTCAACTCAAGAAAATCATTTAGCACAATTAGTTGCTTTTATTATACCTTTTCTGGAGCTATTATTCTCTAAATAGTTCAAAAAAACTTTGTCAAAGGGTGCACACTTGCAGTTAGAAGATGAATAAATTCTGGGGATCTAATGCACAGCACCATGATTATAGTAAAAAATAGTATATTATAAATTTCAAAGTTTCCAAGAGACTAAACCTTAAATGTTCTCACCACAGAAAAGAAATGACAGTTATGTGATGGTGATGGAGGTGTTCGCTCACCCTACGGTGATAATCACATTGCAATATATAAACATATCAAATCAGCACATTGTATACCTTAAACTTGCACAATGTTATGTGTCAACTGTATCTCAATAAAAGAAAAAAACTATTACAAAAATATTTGCTATGTACCAGGCTCTTGATAAGGGCCAAAGATAAATACAAATGGTCCCCACTCTCAGGAGCTCATAGATGAGCAGAGGAGAAGAGAAAAAAATAGATACTTTAAATATAATCTGTTAGAGCCTAAAATTGATGTGTTATAGGAGCAAAGAGAGAAGACACTTAGCCCTACACGGGTGGTGCCAGCAAGGCTTTTAGAGCTGATGGTGCCTGAGATGCATGAAGTCAAAGAAAGGCAGGAGTCACTGCTCAGCACAGAGAAAATGGGCAGAGGAAAGCAGAGTGGTGCAGCTACAGATGTCTGGGACACACCAAGCAGCTCTAAGCACTGAGTGTCAAGTACATGGGGCAGCGGAAACATGAGATTGTGGGGATGGACAGTGACACAGTGACCAAGACATGGAAGACCACGCCTGACTGAAGGGCTTGGACTCTGTCCTGAGGGCTACAGAGAGCCCCAGAAGCTTTACTTATAGGACAGGCGGTAGCACTGGCCCTCTGAGTGGTCTGACTTTGAGGCAGGTAATAGTGGGGGCAGTTTGGTTATGTTATGACGGAATAAATTTGCACAAGAGATGATGCAGGCATGAACTAGGTCAGTGGGTGTAAGTTAAAAAGGAGAAGAATCAAGAAATATGCAAAGGAGGTCAAGGTAGCAGTATTGGCTGCTGATTGGAAGTGGAGGTTAAGGAAGAAGTTTTAGAGAATCAATAGTGGGACCATGTGGTCACAAACACAAGGATGAAATGGAAGGTGAGGGGCTGTGTAGTACACAAGAACCCAGGGGCAGCCAGTCTCAGCCTCTGGAGGGCGGAAGAGGCCTTGAGGTCAGATTTCAGCATATGGGAAGGTAATGATACCCTGGGGCGGAACCTAAAGTTAGCAGGTCAGTGGGAGCTTACGTTGAATGCTCTACCACATCAGTTTGGGGAGAACCCATTTTTCTTGGTGCAATATTACACCTATGACTATTACTTAGTTATATCACTACAGGAGGAAGAGTAGAAGAACAATCTAGAAAACCAAGAGTGCTAAGAAGCCAAGAACAGCCCACAGAAGTCATGGAGCACAAGTGAAATCAAAGAAGTCGAACACTCACCCAAGAGGCACCTCCTGTGATCCCTTGTATCTGGAAAGCTCTGAAGTCCCTCACAGAACACCAGACATCTGCACACCCACCATGAAGCTCTGTAGTATCAACCAGTGAGCTTGATCTGCTTCTAGGCAGCATTTCCAAGGTCACTGGAAGAACAGGAAGGAACAACTAGAACTCTCAGTCTTATTTTCATGTATATGTATTAATTAAAGCTTGAATGGCATGGAACTCTCTCTACACCACATAGAGCATAAAGAAAAGAAGCCTCATGTTAATGTCATCCCAACTTCCCAGTCAAGAAATCCAAGGAAAACCCTAGCACTAATGTAAATTCACATACACACACTCCCTATGTAAGGTCCTATGAAATTGCACCTTGTCACATGATCCACGCAGTTCCCTTCCCAGCCTCTGTTGGACTAGCCCATTCTCCCAGTCATATTCCTGAATGAACAGTCTCTAAGAACTCCAGACTGTTAGCTATGAATCTTTTTGTCCTTAACTCAGTCCTCTAAACTAGCCCTCTTCCCCTGAACCCTCAATTTTGAAGTTCAAAGAACAGAGGCCATGGAAGAATTACCAAGGCAGGGTAACAACAAAGAGGGCAACCAAGCCCTTAGAACTGTAGAGCTTCAATATTTGAAAGGATTTTACTGGAGTTAAAGTTGGGAAAAGAAGGATAAACTGGTCCCAGGTGGCAAAGTATAGGAAGAAATCTTCACCTGTACATTACTAACAGGCTCTTCAAGAGTTCATTTCCTTGGGATTGCTAGAAAAGATACTCTGAATTTGGCCTGCACGAATTTGATGTTTACAGATAGACACGCAATCTGCAAATGTGTGTATTTCCAAATCACTGTCATAAAAACACTCATAAGGGATCAATACATTCAATGTTTATGGGAGGAAAGAAAGAAGGAGGCAGTGGGGAATGAGGACGAAGACCATGTTAAGAACATGACTCTGGAGAAGCTACACCGATGGTCCTCAGACTGTCAGCAAAATGCTTAGCAAAGCAGAATCACCTGGAGGCCCAGATGGCTGGGCCGACGTCCAGAGTTTCTAAGTCAGGACATCTGGGGTGAGGCCCAAGAATTTACATTTCTGACAAGCTGCAGTTGGTACTGATGGTGCTGGCTGGGGACCACACTTTGAGGACCACTGATTGTACCTCTCCATGCCCACCCACCCCCACCCCCAATTCCTGCTGAGAAGGTAATCTTTAGGTGCTGAGATTTCAGTCTGATCAGTTTGTGATCAGGTGCTTGAATAAGATACCAATTCTCAAACTGGTTGACTCAGATGTCCTGGTTGAATAAAATCATATGATTAAAGGGATTAGTGAAAAGTTTAAACCAGCAGCCAGTTTTCATTTCTGAAAGGGTAGAAAAGCATTATTAAAAAAAAAGGTGGGGTGGGCAGGTGTCATCAGGTCCTTATCAGACCAAAGAACCCTTTTCTGTCCTGTAACCAACCAAGCACAGACCAGCCTCTGCTGTCAGCATCTATCCACTCCATATGTTGTCTCAGTAAAGTTGAGAGGGATCTTAGGGAAAAAAAAAAATTTTTTTTTTAATTTACTTATTGTCTTGCCAGTGGGTTTCAGCCCAGGGCAAGTTCACTATGGATTCAGTGAGACCGTGGAATGACAATGGAACGTTCTTGGGATGAAAGAGTTTATTACCCAGCTTGTTCTCCCAGTGATAAGTCAAGCACTAGAATTACATCTGCAACCAACAGTCTGCAGGTCTGTAACCCTCCCTCATCTCTGCTTCTGCCCAGAGCGCTTTATATAGTGACTCAGTCAGTAATAGCTTATTGCCTATGGGTGTGGGAACAGTAGACTAGCAACAGGCCAGTTACATCATCAAGTAGTTTAGGTTCAGGTGAGGATCCTGGCCATAGGAATCTTCACTTTATCAACACTCCACCCCTCCAGGATTCTTGCCTCACAATCTACATGCTCTCAATCTTCCCCAATGGTCCCTGTGAGAGAAAGCTGGGGCATTGTAACCAGATTCCACAACAGTAATAGAGGATAACAACAACATACAGACAGTAACGAAAATTAAGATACAACAAAATTTTGATACAGGTAGCAAAATTTATAATAATCCTCAAGACTGAGGAGGTTATTTCAGCTATATTTAAAACCAGTTCTACTCAGATGAGTTCATGACTCACACTTAGTAATGGTATGGATAGGGAGCTCCACGCATCCCAGCAAGTAGCAGTTTTTTGTTTGTTTGTTTGTTTTTGCTAGGGTATGTACAAAACCCACAAAGACCTTAAGGGCAATAAGGTACACATTTTAATGACACCAACATATGCAAATCTTGTCTATTAGGTAGGATGCATGCAAGAGAGTGGTCCTGTGATAGTACTGTAGCAGGAAGGGGGTCCCTATCCAGGTTTAGTATAACATACCTTTACCCCTCTCTTCATGGGGGTTACCAAGGGGTCTATATATAGTGCTACTAGAGGTGCACGCACTGGCCATAATGATAAAACAAAACTCCCCAGTAAGATGCTCCTACCATCTGGCCATTCAGGATATCCCACTTTGATTTGGGTGGGTGAGGGGGCCACTCTTCTGTTACTCCAGGAATACACAGGAGGCCAGCTTCCAGGCTTTGTCCCCAAGGGGCCAGGAAGGCCAGTCATCACTGGTTCATGTGTCAAAATGTCCAAGGCCATGTCCACTCAATGGAGTCTCCAGGGTTCAGTGTAGTTGGTGCTGGCAGCAAGATACTATTCTGGTGGCCAAATCTCGGCTTCAGTGATTCTTCCTTGGTTTGTACTTGCAGTTGTATAGGGGAGGCAGCCATATGTGTTAACATGTCTACAGGGCTCAGGGCTCCCTTTCGGGGTCTTTTGTTCAAATGCCATAGCACTGTCCATAAGTTGACTGACCATCTCTGCAGACTACTGGTGTCTGACTTCAGTCCAGATTTTAACAAACCATTGTACCTCTCTATCATGCCTGCCACACTAAGATTGTATGGCACATGAAACTTCCATTCGATTCCCAACTGTTGCACACTTTCTTGTAGTGCATGTCCAGTAAAGTGGGTGCCTTGATCACCCAATTACCTGTGGTCAGACATAGGCTGAAAAGAGATGCTCCAGGCCTCTTTTGGATGTCTGTTGGTCTGCACAATATGTAGAAAAGCTACCAGAAGTCCGGTAGCTGTGTCCACAAAAGTTATGGCATATTGGTACCCTTCTGATATGGGCAGAGGTCCAATATAGTCTATCTGCCACCTGACAAGCAGTATCGGCCCCTTAGCTATTGTCCCATGTTGCTGTGAAACTCATTTTAAGTCCCTTTTAAAGCATACAATGCACTCCTGCCAGGCTCTGCTGACTTCTTCAAAGGTCAAAGGTAAGCTCCACTGATGGCCTACAGCCCACATTGTCTTTTGTCTCACATGCAACAAACGCTGATGTAACCATTGGTCTACATCAGTGGCAGGCTTTCCTTCTAGCCAACGTACATGGGCCAACTCATTTGCATCATCATTTCCTGGGGATGCCAGTGACAAATGACCTGTCACATGATACTCTATAACTGTTTTAGTCAGACCACAGGCCCATAAGTCTTGCCACAATTCTTGTCCCCAAAGGGGTCAGTGACCAACCAGCTAGTTGGCATGGTACCATGTCAGTAGCCACAGGGTGAAGCCCTGATAGCCAGCCAAGCTGTCAATGCAGACAACTATAGGGGAGGGCTCCTGGCTGACCACAAGCCACACAGCCCGCAACTCTGCCCATTGGCTGTGCTTCCCCCCACCCCATCTTGCATCCATATTGTCTCAGTCTTAGGATGGAAAGGTATGGCCCTCCATTTTGGGGGCTTCCCATGGCTGGAGCCGTCTGTGTATCATGCATCTTCAGGTTTAGGGGCTCTTCCCTCCGGATAAGGACTCTCTCTGCTACTAACGGTTCTAAAGTAAATTCTTCCTGCTTTTCACTAGTATATGTCACTGGACCCAAAAAGCATTGGAGTTCTTCAGTCAAGGGCTTACTAGAGAGGGTGCTAAGCTGCTGTAGGTATGTACCCCACTTGGCCAGTGTAGGTGTTTGTGCCACACCACTCCTTGGCTTTTGGGTCCAGTCTCGTATCCACCCCATGATGGGATAGGTGGTTATTACCTTTACCAGGGCCATTTCAGTGATGGGTTCTGTAGCCATCAAGGGAGTAATTTCCTGGGATCTGATGTGCATTTTGTAATTGCTACCTCAAGCAGGATGAACCATCAGGGAAGTCAGCTTTCCCACATCTGATCCAGACAGAACAATTCCATTCACCCCTAAATCCCACAGACGTGGGAGCCAAGCTGATATTGAATCTGAGGGCTTCTGCCTAAACTGGGAGCTTAAATCCACCAGCTCAGCCTGAGTATAGGGGCAGAGCACAGAGTGCTCCACGACAGGGGGAAGGGGCTGCTCCTCTCCTGGAGGAACCCTCAGGTGCTGTGTCTTTATTTTCTTCACAACCACTGGGTGTGCTTTCAATACAGGAGGGGTCAGTGCCTTGGGCACTACCCCTTCATCCTTCCCCAGCTCCTCCATTTCTGGGGCTGATGGCACCTTTCTCTCCCCTCCCCTGAGTGCCTTCTCTGCTATGACCTTTACCTTTTCTACCATGCCTCACAGCAATGCTAGCTCAGTCCACCTCAATATCTCGCAGCTGGCAGTCTTGTGCCACCTCTTCCTGTGCTTCCCTCAGGAATATGTCCTTCTCCTCCATGCAGAGCACCTGGCAGCACTGCTGTCTCATTCTGTTAGGAATCGTTTACCGCCTCCATTGGACCTCTCAGCTCACGTTCTTGCACTTCCTCTTCTTGTGGTTTCTGCAGGGGTGTGTCCTTTTTCTTCATGGCCTTTACCTCTTTCACATTACCTCGTAGTGATGCTATTTCAGTCACCAACACATTTTTTTACCTTCTGAATGACACCTTGCAGCCAGTGTTCTTGTGCTGCCTCCTCTTGTATCAATGTAATTTCATTCTTCGATGAATCCACAACAGTTCGCAGCTCACGTTCTCATGCTGTCATTTCTTGTGTGTCATTCAGTAGCATATTCTTCTCATCTGCAGACTTTTTTAATACTGTGAGAAGCAGCCAACCCACAGTCCCCACTGCCTCACGGGCATTCTGTTTCCCAAAGGACCTACTTACTATACCTCTACTGCCTCAGGTATCACCTTCACCTGCCTCCAGTCCTGGGGTGGGGCTCAACCCTCTAGGAGGCAAGCCACCTCAGACCACATACCCAATGGGGGACAGTCAACTGTCTCCCCATTCATAGGGGCAGCCCACTGAAGCACCCCTCTCATAAGGGCAGCCTGTTTTTTTCCTTGATGAACAATGAATCCTACCAACATCGCAAATTGTCTGGCCAATGGGTTCAGCCCTGGGCAAGTTCACTATGGATTCAGTGAGACTGAGGAATGACAATGAAACGTTCTTGGGATGAAAGGGTTTATTACCCAGCTTGTTCTCTCAGCAATAGGTCAAGTGCTAGAATTACATCCGCATCCAACAGTCTGCAGGTCTGTAATCCTCCGTCATCTCTGCCTCTGCCCAGAGCACTGGGCAGAGCTCTTTATATAGTGACAGTCAATAATAGCTTATTGCCTATGGGTGTGGAAGTAGTAGCCTACCAGCAGGGCATCTGTAACTCATAAAACCCTTGACATCAGAAACATGTACAAATCCTCAATCTCAAAATGAGTTGGGTCTCCTTCCCCAAATCATTGACACGATTTGAAAAAAGCCAGTCAGGCTGTGGTGCAACGTTAGGAGAGGTGACCGCAGCTACTACAGGGCACCTCTGGAAAACTAACAGGCAGAGACCTTCGCTGGGAAAGGGAAACTTCAGAGGAATATTCAAAAACTGGTAAAACAGCTCCTCTGATGTGGATCTCTGCAAAAGTTATAAAGTGTTTTTTTAAATAATTTTTTGGTAAATTGGGAAATACCAGCAGATTGACCATTTGCAGAACTCGTCTTGGCAAACTGGCTTCCGAAGTGGCTTTCAGAGAAGTGGGTTTCCCCGGAGTGACCTCAAGCCGAGTTGGCTCCTGACGCTGCTCACACACTGTCCAGTTCTCAGAGTCCTACGTTGAGGCCAGGCCACTTTGGGACCCGGGGGGAATGTAACCTCAAAGGTCTGCAAGGGGTTGTGAGTCAACACGGAAGCCATCTCTCTATCTCCTGCAGAGGGTCAGGGGCAAGGAGGACTTCATGACAACTCAGGGCTGCTGGCTTCCAGAAGACATTCCACCCTGTGGGTCCTGACCAGCAGGCCACCCAGGAGAGGTGGCCCAGCAACCTCCACCTGAAACCAGCCCCACAGGTGACAGGAGGCACCACTGGAGGAGCAGCATCCTGAGCCCTCAAAGTCCATCCCAGGCCCTCTCTCCTCCCAGAGCTGAAGTGAGTCACTTTCTCTCCCAGACCCTCAGACTCGCTTTTTGTTCTCCTGGGCCAATAAGTAGAGAAGTTTCTGTGGCTTTCTTCTTGCCCTGTGGCCTCGGGAAG